ATATAATTACAACTAGACTTTAAGCTCATTGAAAGCAGGGACTGTCTCTCTTGTTCATTTCTCTTCCTCAGACACTAGTATGATGGCTGACATATAGTATGTGCTCAATATATTTTTCGAAATAAATAATCAATCAATCAATAAACCAATGAACACCACAGCTATTTCCCCACAACTTCTAAACAGTAGAAAGAATGGAGATTAAAATCTATTAAGGACTGTTTTTGAATAGTATTAAAGTGTCGCCAGATTCCACAGAATCCCTGCATAGACAAACTAGAAATGAAACAAGTTTAGATGCAGGTCTTCTAATTAAAAATAAGTTCCTAGATAAAAGCAAAACAAAATACTGCAGAGACTCTAATAGGAAAATATGTATTTATTTGTTCTTAGCTTAGGTAGATTATATATATATATATCTTTACTGCTAAATGTAACTTCTCCTAGTCAAAGCTTGATGTTTACTGTTTTGTGTTCTCAAATAAAGAGTCCCTGGTAATAGGATTCCTTGCCTTCTTCTGAGGAGGGAAGATTCTGAAAAATAGCCATGAAACCCCTCATATCTCAGCACTGGACCAATCCTCCAACAGAAGTTAGCTTCCCATTGTCTACCTTGGGGCTGAGTCTGTAGGAAATAGTCCTTGCTCCAATTACCCCTCTCATCTCCCTTGGCAACACAGCAATCAGATTTCTAAGCTCATCTTCACTCTCTTAAATAGGAAGAACAAAAGGCAGAAAACCCACAGAATGTTATGTGTGACTCATTTTCAACTTTGTGTGAATAACTTGGCACAAAGGCATAATTTTGCTATTAACGCGGAATATTTACTTGTGTTTCTCCTCATTCAGTTGAGCACACAAATGAGAGACTGATTGCTCTGAACAATGCTGCCGCCTTGTACCCTCCTGGGTACTTGTTATTATTTGAAATCACAGAAAGGCACTGATTCACCACTGAATCACACGCATAATGACCGAAGTTCTAGAAGCTTGTGCCCTAAGGCCCAAGAGCTGGATTCTTTCTGCTTCTGCTGTGTGTGACAACTCTGATGCCAGCTCAAATGGTAAGGTTTGCAGGAACTCTGGTCTCCTCATTTAAATTAAAGAATAAACTTTGCCATTTTGCTCTTTGACAAAGAACAATCCCGTAGCTAGACAAAGTTTTCTTTCTCTTTTAGATAAGAGCCACGATCTCTTGTAAGGGGTAAGACCAATGGGTATCAAGAGATTCCCTCTCATGTGTATTAATGGTATCCTCTCTGGTTTGAAGAACAGGGTGTATTGTTTCTGCCCAGTTTCATGTATCATTTTTAAACAGTGTTGCCCTAAGCCACTAAGGGCCAGTATGGGAGGACTAGAGAGTAGTACACAAAGCCACAGTACCCTCAGCCGTCCTTCCAGACATCTGACCCATCTCTCATCCTTCAACCAGGGAAGCTGAGCTTTATTTGTTTTATATGTAGAATTTCTATATGATATTTCATTTGAAAAAAGTAATTCAAAGGCTTTAAAAAAATGAAGAACCAGTGTTGTGGGGGAATGAGCACTGAACTAAGAATTAGGATATCTTCACTCTAGTCCTGCTTCTGACCCTAATTAGCCAGTAGACTTTGAGAACTCATGTTACCTTTTTAGAGCCTGACTCCCCTGCTGTGGAACTGAAGCAACAGATGGTAGAATTTAAGCCAGGCCCTATGAAGGTAAGAAGGGTCCTCGAGGGTCCTCAAGATTGACCTTAAAAAGGAAGGGTGAGGACTCCCATTTTCCCAACTTCACTTCAAACAGTGCAACTCTGCTATATATATATATGATATATATGCATATATATGAGATAGTTTCCATATAAAATTTGAACTTTAAAAATTTGAAAAATATTCAATTCTGTATCAATATACCCTTCATTCTGACATTCGATTGCTCTATAATTCCTATTTCCTATGTTCCATTGATTAAGAAGCAAGACACTTTACAATGACTTTTTATTCATATATTATGCTATTTGTTGATGTTAATTACATATGATGCAATAATACTTAACACATGCATATATATATAACACCATTCTTTTTCTAGGTACTCAGAAACTCACACATAAATGTAAATTCACATTCAAATTCATATTTTATACATATATATGTAAACATTTATATATATACATATATATAAACATTTATATATATACATATATATGTGTATATATGTAAACATTTTTGTCTGGTTAGTATTAACATTTTCTACATTTTGTTCCATGGAATACTCCTCTGGGATATAGTAGTAAGCATGGCATGAAAAAAATGTCATGTTGAAATGGGTTTGGGAGACTATGCATATTTATTCTCTTTATAAGTAACACACATTTCAGGTTCCAAAAGGAACTTCAGGGAAAAATCTGTTTGACCTGGATTAATACAGAATTTATCAAATTTGTTTTAGGGGACACTCTTTGTTATCAATATACCTATTGAATTTACTAGAACCACAGTTCTGAATCAAACTCAGAAACAATAATGTAGTGATTTTCCAATGTTATGGACTGAATGTGTTCCCCCAAAAGTCATATGCTAAAGTCCTAATCCCTTTGGGAGGTAATTAGGTTTGGATGAGGTCATGAAGGTGGTGCTCTCATTATGGGATTAGTGGCCTTATAAGAAGAGGAAGAGACCCTAAAGCTCTCTCTCTCCCTCTGCACTAGCACAAAGAAAAGACCATGTGAGCCCACAGAGAGATGATGGCCATCTGCAAGCTTGAAAGAGGACTGTCACCAAGAATTGAATCTGCTGGCACCCTGACCTTGGCCTTCCCAGCTCCTGGAACTGTGAGAAATACATGTCTGCTGTTGAAGCCCCCTAGTGTTTTGTTACAGCAGCCTGAGCAGACTGAGATACCCAGGTAAGAAAATTAGGGTTTAACTGGTTGCACAACTTACTGACACAACTAGCATTCTAAATTTCTACCTAAAAATCTATTTGAAAACTCCAATCAAGATGGTGAATTAACTTCATATCTTGACATACCCTTTTTCCTCCAAAAGAATACTTGAAAAATGTAAAATGAGAAAATCCACAATATATAACAAGGCTTCAAAGCAAAATAAACACTGTTATGGACTAGAATTGGAACAGAAACCCAAAGCAGGGAATATGACTATAGCCCAGAGTCTCCAGGATTTGTAGTCTGGAAACAGGCAGAGGCAGTTGAAATGACAGTGATGGGAGGACTTAAAATCCACAGCAGACAAGGGATAGGATCCAGACTCACTGCTTAAAGCCAGGTGCTGGCACAGAAGTACTCCCTCCTGTCTATCCTCCCCTCCTCATTGCTCATAGAAAGAGGTTGATGAAACTGCTTTCATCCAGAGCCCAAGCAAGGCTTTATAAACTGTGGACTCAGTGAAGCTGGTTGACAAGGCATGACCCCATGCTCAGGAACTGGCTCCCAGACTGGATCTACACTATATCAAATCTCACAACAAAGCAGGAGCCCCAATCTGCTAAAACCTGATTCTAGACTGGAGGCCCTGAGACCTGGATGGAGACAACAGAGAAAACCACTAGCCAAGGAGGAGGTGAGCACAAAAGAGAAAAGAGAGAAGATAAAATCGTATCACTCAAAAGCTGATCCTGCACACCAAAGGAAGAAATCTACCGTAGGGGCGCCTGGGTGGCTCAGTCGTTAAGCGTCTGCCTTCAGCTCAGGTCATGATCCCAGGGTCCTGGGATCGAGCCCTGCGTCCAGCTCCCTGCTCCGCGGGAAGCCTGCTTCTCCCTCTGCCACTCCCCCTGCTTGTGTTCCCTCTCTCGCTGTGTCTCTCTCTGTCAAATAAATAAAATCTTTTTTTTAAAGATCTTTAAAAAAAAATCTTAAATCTTAAAATCTTAAAAATCTTAAAAAAAAAAGAAATCTACTGTAAAGAAAGGCAGCCAACAAAATCCATAATGGGAAAAAGAATCCCCTTCAGGCGATTAACATTCAAAGAATATTCCACCCAAGAATTATAAAAAGTATTTTGAACGTTCATACAAATAAAGAAACAGAGAACATTTGTTGAGAATCATAAATTGTCACAGAAAAACAGGAAAGTAAAATAAGAATTAGTATAGATATAAAAATTAGTTATTTTTTAAATAATGAAAACAGCAACAAAAAAGAGATGAACTCAGGATTTAACGAAGAAGGAATTAATAAATAAAAATATAGTGCTGAGGAATTTCTCATATGCAGAACAGAGGACAAGGATAAAAATTTTGAAAGAGCAGCTAGGATACATAGGGGATAGAAAAAGAGAACCTAACACATGTCTAAAAGGGGAGGTGAGACCGCTAACCAAGAGATTAGGCATCTACAATCTAGATGCATGCAGGCTGTCAGCAAGGTCCAGGGAAATGAACACAAGCGCACTCGAGGAAGGCTCCAGGCTTGACTTCATTGTTAGTTCACAGTAGAGCCTGGGGAATCCATCCCACATTGCAAAGAGACCAGGACAACACGTCACCAACCCTGACCCAGGCTCTAGCCAGGTAACTCAAGGGCTAGGAGGTAGCTTTTAACAAGCACCAGTCTCCTAAGGATTTCCAGAAGCCAAGGACTAACCTCCTTAGGGACATGTTAAGGGTCCTCTCAGGCAGAAGCAGGCAAAGGTTATGCCCACACCTTATTGGTAAATGAAACGAGGCTACTGATTTATTGCTAAACTGCTTCAGAGTAGTTTCAGGGCAGAGGAAGAACGTCTAGGCATCTGGAGAAAACAGCTGCTACAGGTGTAGGAAACATTAATATACCAAAGACTAGGAACTGAGCAGGGACTGGCCAAAAAAATTAAATTTAAAAAGTAATTTAAAAAAATAAAAGGAATGCAAATAGAAGAAAATCAAAAGAAGAGTGAAGGAAAATAACCATTCCTCTGCTCAAATCCCTCCACAACTTTCTGTATCACTCAGAATGAAGTCCAAAGTCTATAAAATCACGTTCAAGGCTCTACAAACTCCCCCACCTGATCTCACCTGCCACCTTTCTGACCTCACCTCCTCCTGATCTTTGCTTTGCTCTCTGTTTTCCAGCCACACTGTCTTCATTGCTCGTCTTTGAACTTTCCAGGCACACTCCACTTGCTGTTCCCTCTGCTTGGCGACCTCCTCCTTCAGAAGGCCACATGGCTTACTCCCTCACATCCTCCAGTTCTTTGCTCACACATCGTCGTCCTCTGGAGGACCTTCCCTGGCCACCCTGTTTAAACTTGCCTTCCCACTCCGGCCCTCCCTATCCTCCTTCCCTGCCTCACACTTCCCCTCGGCACTCAGCACTATCTCACATTCAAAATGCGTCATACATTTACTTGTGTCTGTCTTCCCCTGCTAGGCTGTAAAGTCCTTGAGAACCGGGGTGTTTATCTTTTGTATTTTAGTGCTGTATCTCCAGTACCAGGAACAGTGCCTGACACATTATAGGCACTCAGTAATGACTTGTTGATAGAATCAATAAGTGACCCCTGACATATGGGAAGCACTCAATAAAGACTGAACACTGTGATTTAACCAGTTATTCAACTACCAGTAACTCCCTACTTAGTCTGCTCTGCTAGTCTCTGTTCCAGGAGGGTCAGTCACATTATCAGCATAATAACCATAACCATCGATGATACGCTAAGTTCCCTCGGACATATTTTAGTTCCTATATCTCTTTAACATCAATTCAAAAATGGGGACATTATCATCCCCATCTTATTGTGATTATGAGACTGAGGTACAACAAAGTTAACTGATTTCCCCACACTCATATACCTAGAGGGTGATAAAGCAGATTTGGAGCCTAAGTCTATCCTCCTCCAAAGACTCTGATGTCTTCTCCATTGGTGGATTGCTCCTTTCGCTGCTCTGGCCTAGCTTTCTCCTCCTAAATAGATACTCTCATCTATAATCACCTTCCTTCCTTCATGATGCTTAACTCTTTTATTAGAATCATCTCTCATAGTAAACACTGTTGTCCATTCCTCCTTGCTAAGCTTGATTTATCTGGGTTCTCTCTCTTCTAAAAATGACTCTATGCATCCCCAGCTCCAAAGGTAAATGTTGATTAATCTAAGCCAATCAGAAAGCTAAGGTGACATCCCTGTAGGGAACATCAGAGCTCTGCCTCTTCACAAAAACAACTAATAAACTACAAAAACTGTCAGAATCTAAGCCAGTCATGCAATTCATTTTCCTTGTCAGTGATTGGCTTAGGAATAGATATTTAATACAATCCCAGCCAATAAGACATGAGGAGAGTCAGCTGGGGCACTTCTAGAAATAGTCTCATTATTATGGAGAAAGACAAGAGAAATAGACTCTTCTTCCCTATACATGTTCATATTTAAATGAGATGTCTGAAATACTACCACCATCTCTGAATCAACCAGAAGATAAAGTTAACGCAAGAAAAAGAATACAATTAATAAAATCTCAAAGAAATAAAATTAGAGGCCTTGTATAACAAGCCTAATGTCCCCCTTACCCATGGAAGTTATGTGAAACTTTTAAAAAGTACTTATACAGTATAAGCAAGGCTGAATTAGTTTCCCATTACTTTAACTGAAAGCATCCTGATACCTCAACACTCTCTTCCCTCTTTAGAAGTAGCCCAGCCTCCAGAAATCACTTCGGATTTACCTTCAATTCTACTACTGGAACATGAACAACCAACCATTTGGTGTCTCATTGTTTCTGAGATTGGGTTGGTTACAGAGTTGCCGCTAAAAATAAGATAGAACTCTGACTTTCTTGCTGAGCAGTTGAAAGAAGGAACAGGAGCAGTGATGTCAAAGATCAGGTCTTTGAGGTCAAAGTTCAGTCTCTAGTTTGGACATAGAGGGCTACGTATAGAAGAGTTATATTAGGGCACAAAGAAGTTAAGTAATTTGACCAAGTTCACCATGTTAATTGACAGGCAAGCTAAGACTGTAAGCCAAATTCCTCCTCAACTTCTGTTACAGGACATTATCCACACCCAGATTAAACCTAGCAATATTCATACTTCCAGGTGCATTGTGTAGCTGACCTAAGAGGGGAAAAGGGCTAAGACTTGATGTATTTCAATTATACCTAGGAGATGCATACTTGAAATTTTGCCCACCAGGATCATTCTTTGTACTCAGAGAAAAGCTATCATTTGAAAATATAGTTTCACAGAGCCATTGACCTCTTTGTTGGATCTCTGTCAGGTGAACAATTAAGCTACAATATCTATTCTCTTTGTCAAGAATAATATTAAAAAACCCAAGCCTGCTTCACATCTTTCATCTTGTCTGGTAAGTGATTTCCTTTGACCTCTTTACAGGAAAATAATTTTCCTCCGCATGCAAGTTATGGTTTTCATAAACTGGCTCTTTCCTGACCTCTGAAGTCATTCTTGGGAGGATATTTATGTTTATCTCAGAGTTGTCCAGGATAATGGGTCTCTTTTAAGTGAAAAAAAAATTTATTATTTCCAATTATTGGAGGTAGAGAATACCTTAATTTAGAAACAGTATAATATTGTTGCTAAGAACACACATTCAGGTACTAGATCAACTGAATTAAAATCCTAGCCTCACCATTTCCTAGCTGTGTGACCTTTGACAAGTTACTTAACTTTTCTGTACCTTAGTTTACTCATCTGCAAAACTTAAATCCTTTCTAACAGTGTCTGCTTATAGTGCACAGACTAAATTATACAAAATTTTTCTATTATATATAATAAGTAGTACCTATCTATTGTGTGGATTAAATGAGTTAATATATGTAAAGTTTCTAGAATCCAGCCTGGCACATAGTGGTCACTATACAAGTATTATTGATTGTTATTATTTAGTTCTTTAATGATAGATACAACCACCAAAGCAAACTGAGCATTTGCTATATTCCCAGCACAGAGCTGGATGTCCCAGGTGTGATCATACACAAGATCCAGTTCTTGCCCTCTTATGTTTCAGTCTGGGAATACAAACAATATACGTGCAATTGCAACCCAAAGTTGTAACTGCTAGGACAGAGGTAGTACAGGGTGCCACGCTAACTGTGGGCAAGGTAAAGGGAGAGAGCAAAAGAGCATTACCTAATTTGAAAAAAAAAAAAAAACCCTTCTGGGAGAGAGAAGCACCTCAGTTGGGACAAGAAGTATGGGTGGAAGTTAGTTTGGCTAAGCAAACAACTGGGCATAAAAGTGCTACAAGCTTAGAAATAGGTCTTAGTGCTCCTCTAGCCTCATAATAATGAAAAACAGCTTCCCTGCTGGCCCCACCCTCATCATTGTGTTCAATGATGAACACACTGAAAGTGTCTTAGATATCTGTCATTGACCAGGTGGAGATGGGAGACGTGGTCTGTTCCTTTCCCTCTGTCATGTGAACACATACCCTAACAAGTCTCAATCAACTATTCTAAGTTCACGGTGGCTGATTCCAGCTGTAGTGAGTTTGGGAAAGGGGTGAAACCAAGAACGACTTTTCGCCTTTGGTCTATCCAATTCCTCCCAAAGCACCATATGCAAGCATGGAGAGCCACTGCTCAGCTCTCTAGGGATCCCCACCTGGATGTTGTCTAGGTTAGTGGAGAATAGTCTATACATCCCCAGCTTTCATCCTGCTGTTCTCTTCCACCAATACCGCACTCCTTTTAGTGTCTTCTCCTAGCCCCAAATCCCCCAACGCCCCCTCCTTCAAACAGAGCTGTGGTCATTTACCAAGTGGTAAGCAAGCTCCAAGCTTTCCCATTTCTTAGAAATTTTCCTAGCTTCCTGTGCTAGCTATGTGAAACTTTTCACATAACTGTTCTTATACATATAGTCTTTCCCTCATTATGGTGTGGGATAGAGGGAGGGGAAATTTCTCATCCTGATAATACATAAGAGCAGACATGATGTTGGGGTCATCTTGTGCAAAGGTTTCTGATATTCTTTTATTTGGTTGCCTGAAAACCAAAATAATAATAACAGCAGCAACAACAATAATAATAACCAAAGACATCTTACACTGAGAAAGTTAAGTTCATCCTGATAGCTCTCTTCAGTTCTGCGTATCCTTCTTATTCTACTCCCAACTCTAAAAGCGTACATTTTAGGTCTTACTTTGCTAAAGAGAGTATCTCCTTGCAAGTCACATTACAGTGTCTCCCCCCTATTAATTTAACCTGAAGAGTGTTTTCCCTAGTTCTGGATATTCACCACACTCCTTACCCTCCCTCCAGCCCCAAAGTTCAACAAAAATGAGATAGGAAAGTCTTGATAAATAACAAAGTATTCATACAAAGCCCTAATAGTAGTAATTTTTAATAGTAGAATTATAGGTAATTTAGCTTTTATTCATTAGATTTTTTTCTTTATTTTTAACCTGACACCATCGTTATATAATTTTGGCAATATAAGGAGAAACACTATTCTTTTAAATGAGTGATCACCATTGACTTCATATGACACTAAGGAAAAAAATGTAAGAACTTCTAATAGAACATGGTGGACATACACAGTGTCTTACCTCCATCAGCTCTGATTATTTAAGTTTCTAAAACTATAGAAAACATCTTTTACATTCATAAATACATTCAAAATAAAGAAAAAGGAAGGGTGCCTGGGTGGCTCAGTCAGTTAAGCATCTGCCTTCGGCTCAGGTCATGATCTCAGGGTCCTGGGATCTAGCCCTGCATCAGGATCCCTTTTGAGGGATCTGGTCTACTTCTTCCTCTCCCTCTGCCCCTCCCCCCTGCTCCTGCGCTCTCTCTCTCTCTCTCTCTCTCACACACACACACACACACACACACACATAATTAAAAAATAAAAAGGAGCCCCAGTAAACCAGAGAACATGAGGAATCTCTGGAGAGGGATAAGAAAAAAGAGGCCATTAAGTCTAAGGAGTAAAGCTAATGAGAAAAATAATGAATGTCATAGAAAAATGGTGGAGGCGCCAGGATGGCTCAGTCATTAAGCGTCTGCCTTTGGCTCAGGTCATGATCCCAAGGTCCTGGGATCAAGCCCCACATCGGGCACCCTACTCAGAGGGAAGCCTGCTTCTCCCTCTCCCACTCCCCCACTTGTGTTCCCTCTCTCGCTGTGTCTCTCTCTGTCAAATAAATAAATAAAATCTTTAACAAAAAAAAAGAACAATGGTGTTGACATTAAAATTAAAGCCTTTCAATAAAATAA